AAAATAAATCAATTATTTTGCAACTAAAAACAAAAAGAGCTCCAGGACTTGGACCAAGTATGATAAGAACCAAAAATATTCAATGTACCTTAGAAGCCATACTCAAACCACTAGTATTAGTTCCAATTAAAAAAAAAAAAAACATAAAGTGGATAAGCAATTATCGGCCCATATCTATAACATCTGTTTTTGCAAATATAATTGAAAAAGTTATAAAGAAAAGGTTAAACATGTTCTTAAGAAAACATACTAAAACACAATGCAATTTGGGTTTAGAGAAGGCACATCCACAAAGGATGTAATATTAGAATTTACATCATACGTCTATGACAATATATATAAGACAATTGGTATCTTCTTGGATAATTCGATACAGTCGATCACCTACCTCTTTTAGAAAGATTAGAAGATGTTGGAATCAGAGGCATTCCGTATAATCTCTATTGAAAATTACTTTCTAGGAACCAACCATTGACAACTAGAACAAATTCAAACACAGACATGCCAACATAACAGGAACCATAAAAATTACACTAACCAGAGTCACAGAAGTCAATCTTAGTCTCACTTCCCTTGATACTTAAATCAAGGAGTTTGCTCTAAAGACATTGGCACGACTTTGCGCGGTTGGAATAGATACTAATGTAGGATCTGGTAAGCTTTTAAGGTACCTTGACAACACCATAGAAAACAAATACTTGACTATAACCGGACAGAATCTGCGCCTGATCACAGAGAAACATCAACTATATCAAATCTTTAGGCTGGCTGACGAGCTACGAGCGGGCTTATCAATTGAGGACAATAGGTCTAGTGAGACCTGTGTCATTCAGCAACCCACCCTCCACATATACATATATGAACACTTTCTGGGGTACTATAGGGTAGCGGTCGGCAACCTGCGGCCCGCAAAACCTTCTGGTGCGGCCCGCAAAGCCTTCTGGTGTGGCCCGCAAGATCTCAACGCAACGCATGTATGGACGATGGCAATGGTGAGAAAGGGAAGGTATAAAATATGCGCTTTGCGCCTGCCCCCACATACCTAGTACAAAATATCGATATAAATATCGATAAACTAACTTAACTTTTATCATTATTTCCTTCCACAAAACATAAAACAAAATAATTTATGGATTTGTCTACCAATCCTTGAGTTTTCAACGTTGCCACATTGTTGCATTTAAAATCACTGTGTGTTATTTTCAAGCTTGTATTTAATAGAAATAATTGTGTTTTTAGTTGTGGATTGAATTATTTATTATTAGCTTTATAATTAATAATAAAAACAATTAAAATTAAAAGTATCCTTGATGTTGTGGACATTTATAAAAAACGGAACAGAATTACTAAAATAGTTGGTGAACGAGCGCTCTTTTCCATCTACACCATAGGAACATCATACTATGATTACTATGTTTGTCGAAAGAACCTAATGAGTGAAGCCAGAGAGATGTAGAAAGGGCGTGTTCGCTTCGCTAGCTTCGAGGCTTTTTTTTATCTCCTGGGCTCGTCTGACTACGTATCCGAATAACACTGAAGCCTATTATTGGCTTATTGTGTCTTACCCCATGTTAGTTCATAGCACCCACTCTGTCACCTATGTACCTTGTACAAGTTTGTACAGATCCTTGGGTGAGTGGGTTCTATTCGCTCCGTGCGCGACAGCAGCGCCAATTCGATTTGGTACTAATGGACTATTTCTGCGTATACTGACAAATACAATTTTTAATAGAATTCGTAATTAAAAAGTATATATGATAGTTTTAATGAAAGTATATGGATTTGTAAAACAAGTAAAACATTAATTTATTATTACTATATATTTTTATCGCTTAAATAAAAGAAAATTGTGTATAATCAATAAAAATCAATAATAAAATATAGGCAGGCAACAGTATTTACTGAAAAATGTATGAGAAGTTGCCTAAGTCTAATAAGTTTTCATTGAAGAATTAGCCTATTCTGTCAAAATAAAAAAATACCATTTAAAGCATGAAGTTAAAATGTATAAAAAAAAGGATCGTTGTTTATATTTTCATTTTTGTTCGAAAGAAAACATAGAATGAATGATTAAAACTGGTTTCCCATCAGTAAGTCACAAAATTGCATTCCAGCTGCATATAATAATCAAAGGCAGAAATATTGAAATCTAGTCCTTGCTGAATGAACATTTAAAAATAAAGGGATATTAAAAAACATCATAAAATGATAATTTATTGTTTATTTAAAACCTTTCAAGTTTCTGATGTCTACTATTTCCAGCATTACTGTTATTATTACAAAAATAAAGGTAATTTTTCTTCTTATTGTACACCTATCCATTTATTTCTTTGATTTAATTTCCACTTTGCTACTGAAATTTTTTATATAAGTTTCACTGTTTTTTTTTAGCTAGTATTTGTACAATTTTTAACACACCAACTCCGGTTGCTTATTGTATTGTTTTTACCTACTTTTGTAAAAAAAAAGAAAAATGTATACATTTATTTGATATGCCAAAATTACAAAATATCGCCCTAAAATGCACGAATTATCCGCAGCTAGCGCTAGTATCGCTTTTGCTTCCCTTTCCATGACTTTGCACGGAGCGAATACACTGTTGGATCAACCTGGGGTTGTCCAAAAAGAGCCTGTCTTTTGCGATCTAGAGCTTCGCATTCGCACAGTATGTGTTTGGCTGTTTCTGGTTTCGACGCATAGTCGACACAAGTTTCCTTTACTGGGGCGTGCCCAGTCATGAACCCTGTTATCACTTTCAACTGGTTCCTATTCATAAAGAGTAGTTCTCCAGTTCTTTTGGGACATGGTCTGCCTATGAAGGCTTTTCCATGTGCCTGTTTTGGGGTGCTTTCCCAATAGTTAATATGTTGTTCCCGAATCCAGTCGTTTATGAAACCCTGGACTGTACTTTTTGGTACTCCTGGGTTTGTGTCTGGTTCCGGTGTTTCTTCTAACCCTCTTTTTGCAAGTTCGTCAGCCTTTTCGTTGCCTTCGATTCCTTAATGACCTGGCACCCAAAATAGCCAAAAGGACGCGCCTGGCCGACGTTTTGAAATTGGTGCGACTTTCGAAACGTAGTGTTTAAAAAGTGGGTGGGTTAGCTTACCGTGTTCATATGGTGTTAGTGTAAAAACGCTGAGCGCGCTTGCTTCGCTCGCTCTTTTCTGTAGTGATTGGTATAGGTGAGTTCGGGCTGCGCACTCCAGAGTGGAGTGGAGTATATAGGCGTAAACGGAAAGCGCATATGATTTTACTCTTTTTACTTTCGGAGTGCAATATCAGTTGTCAATGTGACATACCAGTACTTAAAGTCTAATTGTACTTATCAGTAACAATCCCTTAAGTTTCTTCCATATTAATGATATTCAAGGGACCAAATAAAAAGCTTTTTACTAAAGAATCAGTCACAATTATCTCATTATCGAATTAAATCACCTTCTGCGCATGCCCGATTCCTATAATTTTCAGATGCAATGTTTTTTTAAATATTTGAAATGCTTTTTATTTTAAAAATAAAAAATGTTAAACGTCATAATTTAAAAAACCAAGAATAAATTGAACTAATTCAGCTATCATCTTCAGTTGATATGTCCTTAAATTTGGCTGGCTGGCGTCATTTGTCAAACAAATAAATTCCCTTGTTTCAAAAACGTTTAAAAACTTTTCGATAACACAAAGTAATTGTGTTTAAAAGTTTTCGAAAAGTACATTGATTATTACTTTATGTATGATGTAACATCAACATTTAATTATTATGTACTACAACAATTTAATCAAAATGGTCGGATGTGACTAGAAATAAATTAATAGAAGCACTGCTTTTTTAAGTGTTTGGAAATATGTCAAAAATAAGGTAAGTACTTTTTATATTTCTTTTTCGTTGATTTTAATTGGACAGTTGGAAAAATTGCTCATTTATATTGACGGAACATAAAATATAATTCTAATGAATAAGTTTACATAAATTATCCTTTAATGATCCTCATAAGCCCTAAATATATAATTGTTTTAGAAAAACGTTAATATATGGGATTTCCAGTGGTATATTTAAATAGTACTCTCTTTCCAAAGCCCACAATCTAAGTTTTGTACAAAAATTGTATATTTCTACGATCACTATCCAAAGTATGGTTTGCGCTTTGAAATTCAACCGCAAAGTTGACGTTTTCTGTGAAGTGACATCAAGTGACAGATTTGTTGACAGCTTTGTTGCTCGGCTAATTAAAATTAGGTATAATATATTGATATTTCTTTTTAATAAACGATTTTCGAGTTATTTGTACGTAAGTTACATATGTTTTTGTTACATTATCCAAGTTAACACGGTCTTTGAATATCAACTGCTATTTTCATGATGAATGTAGATATAGGCAACACTACTTATGAAAAATTTCTTAAAATATGTAATCGTAGAAAAAATATTGTCGTTGCCGCTTTCTGTTTCAAGCGGCATAGTATCATTTTACCAAAATTTAATTTTTACATTTTATGTGCGATTATTATCGTAATTTTTTTTATAATCTGGCAATTTATAGATTATAAAATAATCCTGAACCTTATAATTTTATTAACAACTTGGCAACGTTGTTATTTTCAAGACACAATTTGTCACTTCAAATGAATATTTTGTGAATATAACCTGTAAAATTAAGTTTTTTTGATTATTTTCTTTTTTCGAAAAATGCTGGTTCGTCCTTAATTTTTTTTACAAAAATGTACAAAAGAGACTAGTACTTTTTAAGTGTTTACATTTTTTTGTGAAATTCGCACCTCCGGGTAGAAAGAAGGACCTCACAATTGAATTTTACTTCTTTAAAAATATCTTATAATTTATTGCTCCAGAAATATCTTCAGGCAAAAATTCCAACATTTTTGACATGTTCTCAATTTTTAGTTAGGTTTAAAAGTTTTTGAATTGTTTATAATCAACTATCTCCAAATTTCGCGTATATTTTTGACACACAGTGGATTTAATGAGATTTAAAACATTAAAAACTCACCATAAAAGTAATATTCCTTATAAATCATTGGGCATTTTGCGACTTTCGTATAAATCTACCCGTCACACAACACCAATGACCGATAGCACACATTCACGCACTTCCTTGGGATCATTTGGGGCAACAGTTCTTCCGTCAATATATAACCGAAACGGAGAGCAGTATGTAAAAAATACTCACAATAATTTTTAAATCGTATACGGATAGCTGTCAAAATGTTTGTATTGAAACATCAAAAATCGGTGACAGTTTGAATTTGAATCTTCGACGATCAGCTGTTTCCAGTGCCGAATCGATGGAAACAAACGGGGTGGTTTTGTTATATACATCGGCTTGGACTTGATAGACTTGGACTCGTCTAGAAGGGTGTAAATCGCCGAAATCTCTATCGCGTGAGCTTTCATACTTAACCGGGATGAAGTGTAATTTTTGTTACAAGGTGCCTTCAAAAGGTTTAAACATAGATTATCCACAGACTTGTGGGAAAAAATTAAATGATTTAACGCGACTTTATATCCAACATAATAATAATATTAGTAAAAAACTGTTTATTTAGAAAATGTACAAAATTAAATAATAATATATTAAGTAATATAACTTAATTCATAAGAAAATATACAATATTAAAAAAATTACAATTACAAATAGATAAAAGTTAAGAAGTGATAAGTATCAAGTATATGAACTAAAATCATCAATATATATAAATTAAAAAATAACTATTTAAATAAATATATTATAATACAGGGTGTTTTTTCCTTGAGTTATAAAAGGTATTATGCTTACCTAGTCAGTATAATCTTATCTGGTGTTACAAGTCAAATCAAGATGTTATTTTGTTATCGTTAGGGTTTGTAGAATTTTATTATGTTGTGGTATTTAAATTTTATAGTAAAATGAACTTACTTTTAATTTAACACATTACAATTATAAATTGTCTTTTTGTAACATTATAATAATATATAATTTTAATTTTTTTCTTAAAAATTGGTTTACTATTGATTTTTTTTTAGGTGGTCTGCGATAGTATTATAAAATTTCATTGAGATATACAGGGTGGTTCCATCGATAACGCCTCGGTCTGTAGAGCCAAATCTGTACTATTTTTTAAAAATTTAAAAATATTTTAAATTATACAGGGTTCTCCAAAAAGGTAATACATATAAAAGTTTTAAATAGAACACACTGTATTTTTATTATATCAATACCAAATAGTATGAGAATATACAGGGTATTTCACACGTTATAACCACTTTTATATGAAAATCGTATTCATTTCAATGACCTGTATACTATATAGTGCAAAATAATCAATTGAAAACCAATTTTATTGTGGTAAAAGATTTTCGATATTATTCAACATTTATGCCGATGCTCTACTGTTTTTAATTAAAAACAAATCTGTATAGGCTAGTGGTTCTGCAATTTTAGAAGAAATGTTTTCAATCATCTGCTCAGATAGTATCTAATCCTGGACTTTTTTGTTTGTCAAGCCTTTCATTGTATTAATAATTTCATTTGGTGTAGCCTTCTTTAAAAAGAATGAATTTCTTAAATTCGTTTTAGGGAATTTTTGTTGTCTATTTCTTCTGTTTGTTCTTATCAGTAATTATTGTTTTTTCGGATGTAATTAGATCATTATCACTTTTTATTTCATTTATACTTTGAGTTTTATATATTTTTTTATTTGTAAGGTTATTTATGGACTTTCATAGTTTACTAGAATCAGACTTGTTTTTTTCCAAATTTTTTTGGTGGTACATTCTTTTTAAGTTTTCTACTAATTTGCCAAATATGGTTGTGTGCCTGTTATACTCATTTATGTTCTCTTTAGTAGGATTATTTTTCATTTTATTGTAAATTTTTTGTTTTGTATCAGCTGATTTTAGTAAACCGTTTGTTATCCATGCATTTATTTTCATTTAGTTTCGTTTAAGTGGTATTTTATTAGAGCTATTTTCAATAACTTTTCTGATCTTTAATATTAAATTATCAGTAGCAGTGTCAACATTGTTTATTGAATATAAGTCTTCACATCTTTCATTAGATGAATTGTAAATTAATTTGTTTTTATCTACATATATTTTATATTTTATGGTTTTATTATTGAATTGGATTGTCTTGTTGTGAGATTATTTGAATTATTGTAGAGAAATGATCAGTTATATCTGACTGCATAAAAATAGGGTTATATTCAAAGGAGTTAGATGCATCAGCAATGAGACAGTGGTCTAAACATGTTATCAAAAAATTCGCATTCTGACGATCTATATAAAACTGAGATGGTAATAAGTTATTCATCAAATTTTAGATTAATTTTAGTAATATTCATATTATTTGGAAAATGTATTATTTTTTCAGTAAAATTAATATTTTCTTTAATATAGACCAGGACTCCGCCATTTAGAATAAAATACCAAAATTATATACCAATTAATATCCTTCTATATTAAATAGAGATATGTCTTCAATTGTTCTCGTCTCAGACAATACAATTAGATCAAATTCATGTTTTATTTCTTCCAATTGTATCAATAGTGAATCTAGATTTTTCTTTGCACTTCTTATATACATGTGATATATTTGTAGGTTAGTAGTTGAAGCAATTTTTGTTCTAAGTTCTAACGCTTTAAAATGATTTATGTAGTTATTCATTTTTAAAAATGTTTTCAATAAAGAAATTAATTACAATATAAAAGTTCAAATAATTATGCCATATACATTAAGCATGCAAATTTTTTTTTAATAAGTTACAATACAAAAGAACTAAAAAACTTATGAAAAATGCGAGTTTAATCTACCAGTTACGTTTCGTTTTCGTCTATCGTTTTTTGTAATTTGCTTCTCGGTTTTTTCTTCTATATTTAGTGGTTTTTCTAAAAGTTTCCTTTCTTCCTTGTTTATACTATTTTTTTTGTATTCTTTGGTAAGGAATTCAGGAGAAATAAAGATGCCAGAGCCTTTAGCAATGTTTCTTGCTTTTGATTATATTTTGATAATTCAATTAAGATTGGTCGATTTTTTCCCAAAATTTGTTTTCCTATTTTATAGCAATATCTTACGTTGTTAGGCTCAAATTTTATTTTTAAATCATCTTTTATTACATTAATTACTTCTTCATTGGTCTCCTTGTCAGTTTCTGGTATCCCGTAAAAAACTATATTATACTTATTTATTTTATTTTCCAGACGTATTACTTTATTTTTTAGAACAGCGTTTTCTGTTTCTAATTGTTTATATTTCCTGTTTGTTTCTGTTTTATTGAATTAACATTAGTTTTTATTTCATCGACATCTTCTTCTAATTTATTATAAAGCCTTTTTGAGTCTATTATGTGGTTGTTTACTAATTCATAAAGATCATCTATTGTTTTCGATGTACCCATAATTTACATGTTGGTGCGTTGATTCGGTACTATTTCGTGCGAAGCGTTCTATTCGATAAATAGATGACCATTGGCCTGCGTAAAACGGTAGCAATTCGTTGATTAGTTATTTGATGATAGAAATTTATAAATATTCTGAATCGAGGTGGGATTTTAGTAAGAGATCATGTACTTACATGGAAGTCCATAAAGAAAAAATAATTAAACATAGTTTCACTGTACTAGAACTTTTTTTAATGTTGTTTGTATAGAATTGTCCAGAAATAATTAACTAATCTTCTGGAACTATTTATTTTATTTTCTGTTAACGTTTTCCCACTTTGTTTGCTGTTTGATTGCTATAATTTTTAACACATGCGGTTCACACTGACTAACCGATACAGATATAGATTTGTTTCTAATTAAAAACAGTAGTGCATCGACATAAATTTTGATTAATATCGAACATTTTTTTCTGCAAAAAAATGGTTTTCAATTGTTTCTTTTGCAATATACAGATCATTCAAATCAATACGATTTTCATATAAAACTGCTTGTATAGTGTGAGATATCCTCTTATATTATTTGGTATTCTTATAATATGAAAACCTAGGACAATTTAATTATAAAATAAAATAGAGGGTGTCCCAATTAAAAAAAATGCAAATTTTGATATGTATCATTTTCTTGGAAAACCCTGTACAATTGAAATAATTTATATACATCTTGCTGTAAAACCAGATTTTTAAAAATCAAATATATTTGGCTCTACATACCGAGGCGTTACCAGTGGCCCACCCTGTATACAGGGTGTACCAATAAAAACTCCCAGGCCGGATATTTTGGTAAGTAATAGAGATATTTTAATTCTGCAAAAGCCAGTTCATAGAGCGCTAAAAGAGCTTCAGTTTTAGATATAAATTAATTTTAAATAAGTCAATATGTAGATGGCGCTGCGCTCAATATATTTTTTTCGATGGGAGGATCTTTCTTATATAACGCATCTTGTAAAAAATGCATTTTTAAGCAGATTTTGTCTTATAAACTAATTCGATAAATCTAGCCATTTTTGATATACAGAGTGGATCACTCAAAACAGTTTCATCCTGTTTTTCAGCATTAATCATTGGATTTTAAGAAAATGCTAAAACAGGTCGATTTTTATTCCGAATTAAAAACATTTTTACAATACAGACATCTGTCATGTGTCAACCCCTTCCCTTGTACTTTTCCAACACCTTAATTTTAAATAGGTAATGTACCATATATGGCACATCATTGAAAAGGTAATTTAATGGAGAATTCAGAAATATTTTTGTATATTGCGTTACTTAAATTTTATCGCCCTCTAGCGGGATAAAAAACTACTACGTATTATAGTGTGTGATACTACAATATGTAGTATACCATTAAAAAGGTAATTTTATAAGAAATTTAGAAATATGAATGTTCATTGCTATACTTTTAATTGTACCGCCCTCTATCGGGATTAAAAAACTGTACGTATTATAAAGTGTGACACTTTATTTGAAAGTAAATTTAATTACTAATTCAATGCACCACATAACATTAATATAAATATCCTCCATATTGCACTTGCAATAGTTTGAAAATTATTCATGCATTATTTTAAACATTATTGCTAACTTTATTTTGTATATTATACAATATAGAAATATTTATATTAATGTTATGTGGTGCATTAAATTAGTAATTAAATTAGCTTTCAAATGAAGTGTCACACTTTATAATACATTACAGGTGTTTTATCCCGATAGAGGGCGCTAAAATTAAAAATATCGCAATAAACAGTCATATTTCTGACTTCCCCATAAAATTACCTTTTCAATGATGTACCGTACATGATACATTCCTTATT